AGATTGATCCAAATGGCGGTTGTGCTCTTTCTTGAAGGTCAATTGAACAGTCATTGGAACCATATTCTGGAAGAGTATCTGCATTCTTTTTTTCAAATATATCTTAAAAATCTTGATATTGGCTTTGAATGCCACTTAAAGTCTTTCTACCAGTAGAAACAAGTGTGGCATAAATAACACAAGGTGATCTTTCTTTTGCAGCATACAAGAAAGCACTTGCATCTACAAATATAAGTTTAATTATACTAGACTTATAACTTTGTACTTGATTAACTACATTCTTAGTTATACTTTCAGAAAAGTCAAGACTATGAGAAGTCCAATCTATTTTAGGATTATATTTTTCTAGCCATAATAAACTTAAAATGATTGGATTAAAAAGAGATCTAATGATATTAAATATTATAAAGCTACTATGACCATTAGTTGCTATTTCTATAGGAAGGATTTCATGAGTAATATCTCCTGAAGACAATAGACAACCATCTATGACTTCTACATGAACACGTTTAGTTTTCTTTACTAAAAATATGCTATGTCTTTTAGTAAATTTTTCATCTAAGAAACATGCTAAGGCTCCTTAATCTGGTAAGGCAAAGGCTTTGAGATGTTTAGGTCTTAGAATAACATTTATCGTAAAACATGGACAGGGTTCTGAGGAGAAGATAGGACACTCACTAAGCATTGTACAAGGTTCCAGCCGCACGATCCCTATTGTAGCTGGACAAATTCGTTTTCTAATATGCTATCTTCTTTGATCGTCGTACTCTTCATTTTATGGTTGCGTTGCTTCTTTGGACAATGTTGAGCAGTGTACTTAGGTTCTCCACAATATAAGCACAATCCTTCTTGACGACGACGAGTCTTTTCTTGCTCAATAAGAAGTTTGAAACGTACTGCATCAATTTGCATATCCTCTACTTCCGAATGTATGTGTTGAAGAGGTGTTGGTGTTACCATTGAATTATAGTAACGTTGAGGTCCACTTGTATGGTTCTCAGATCAGAATTCAAAAAGGCGATTGTCCCACTTCACAACAAAGTCAATTGCTTAACTCAATGTTTGAGGATCAGGTAAGTTGAGCATTAATTTTTTTACCTCATATTGTAATCCATAGATAAATTGGCTAATAAGTGTAGCATCATTCCACTTGATATCAGTTACAAGTTGTCAAATTTATGAAACATACAACATTATCGATCGATTATCTTATCGTAAAATATGGATCTTATTAGTTGCAACATGAATTGCATCATGTTCTCCATACATGGATTAAAACTGCACCATAAAAGCCTCTAGATTATCCAATATTGGATTTCGTCATTCAAGAAAAGATGAAAACCATGATAATGCTGAATCTGAAAGAAGCGCACCAATGAATCTAACTTGCGATCCTAGAGTTGGATAGCTTTGGGATTGAAGTTCAATCACAGGTTTCTCTTGATTGATAAATCCTCAAAATTTAGATCTGGTGCCATCAAACTTCTCGGATAAGATAATTCTTGGTTCTCTAACACTGGAAGGATGTTCTACCATAGGAGAAGGGATATGATTTGGTACAGATGTTGAAGCAACTCCAATCATTTCTATATCTTCACTTCTTGTCAATCTTGTTGCTCCTTGTGGTGGTAAATTGAGTTGATGCATCATAAGCATTAACTTCCTCAATTGCTCTTGCATTTGTGCCATTGCACTCTTCATTTCAGCAAGTTCTGCCATGATAAGACTTAAAAAAGAGAAGATGTCTAATATCACTCAAGACAAATAGAAGAGAGGACTTGAGAACAAAAAAATACTAACAACAATATTAGTTTAGAAAAGGGTAATCCGCAACTTCTAATATGCTTGTGTCTTATTAAGAAAAAGGGATAATCCACTCTTGATCAAGATTAGACAAAGCTCTGATATTGTAGGTGTACTCTTGTCAATCTATCAAGGACAAGAATATGATAAAGACAAATAAAGAAGTGAGACTTCTCTCATTGAAAGATGAAAAAATAGAAATAACTTGATATATATATTAAGAAAGAAACTGGAATGGCTATTGCTAAAAGCCAAGAAAACTAGAGACCTTGAAATTAGACTGGAAGCAAGAAAAGAGTTGACAAGAGTGAAGAAAGCTTCACTCTTGTCTCTATATATATTATCTAACTAGGGGCTATATGGCAACATTCTATAGGACCTCCAATATGTATTGACTTTATAGGACACATGCCTTAACTTACAAGGCAAGTTTTTCTACGTGTGGGCCACATAGTTAATTTGGTCTTTAAGCTAACAACATGTGTGGCACATGGCCAACTTGTTGACCACGTTTCTAATCTTAAAAAGTCAATTAAAGACACCTATAAAGTCAAAGCAGCGTCTAGGAAGCTTCCATACCAAATACTATAGAATTAACTTATTTTTATCTACTTTTATTTATTTCTACCTATTTAAACATGCAATTATTGGCTTACATGCATATGTCCGTGACACCTTGCCTTATGGAATAATAGACTTTGCTAATCCTACGAGGATGTTTGATGTTGATCTTATTTTTAAGAAGTGTGAATTGTCTAATACAAACTTGAATAGCATTCCACCTACTTGGGTAGTCCAATACAAAAGGCAAATCAGTGGCCATAACTTCCATAATATGCATTTCAATCTCAAACAAGTCCAATTTCACTACTATGGATTTTAACTTTCTACTACTAACTAAAATTGTTTGCAGAGATATCTAAGGAATGTATCATGAAGACAAATATACTAGGTAATAAATCAACTTATAAGTTAGAAGAAGACATCACAATTTGATACGCCATTGCCTTACCACACTCACTACTCTCTCCCACTCCTGCCTCTATTTATAAGCTAGTTCTTTACCACTTCTCAAACTGCTCTCGTTGCTTTCTTAATATTACTATTATCATTGGAATGAAGTATACACATAAATGATGAGGATGAGGAGGTGGATTTGTTTCTAGTGAGGGAAGAGTGTTGAATGAACAAGGATAGAAGAATTTGACATGATTCAAGGATTCAATCTCAAGGATAGTATCAAAATATGTTAGTACTGAGAATAAGGAATTGTGGGTTTTGGAAATTTGATATCTAAATAGTGTTGAATAGCTGGAATCGGTTATCTCTTAGTTTAGGACCACAATGTTGGATGTTAGATATGGTGGTGGAATATAGATTGAATTTTGCTTACTTTTGCATTTGGGCTAGATAGTTGAGATGCATTTCAAGTGGTAGATGTGTAGAGATTGCAATCTCTTTGAAATAATTCTCTTAATAATGTGCTCGTTTGTAGAGAAGTCTTTGAATTTGGACTTGTTTAATACATATGCATGAACTTCTTAGCTTTTGATCTACATTCCCATCAATGTTGAACAAGGTTTAAGACAAGGAAGAAAGCAAAGTTTGCAAGGCTACCATACTTCATCTCATGCTTCTTATGAGACAAATCTTTTTTACTAGTATCTCCTATTTAGTTTGTATTTAGATTGACATATTTGCTGCCTAAATTTCAAGCTAATTTTTATTAGCATGACCTACACAAAGTAAATGAGGAATAAACCACACATAGAATTGTAACAATTAACAATGAGTTGAGCCATAATTCAATCAATCCTCATTGCATGACATTGGCAAGGCAAAATCAAGCTCGCAAATTGAAATTTGTCGAACAAGGTTGAGGAGGCCCAAATCGAATATAGTGGTTTTATCCTAATCTATTCATTTATAATTGTGAAGATTTCAAAGGATTAAGTATTTCTTTTCACTAAGTTGTTCCAATAAAAAAATAAAAGAATAAAAAATAAAACTATATTTAGTATGCATGCATTGCATTAAAAGAAAACATTGTGTTTTTTTTTTCTTTCTTTTTTTGTTCATTTTGCAAAGTAATTGAAACTTGAAAATTTCAAAGGTGGTGATTATACACATTTGTTCACTTATCTTTTTAGGTACAAAATACTAGAGAAAAACAAAATCAAGTTCCAAGAAATTTCAGATCTTTGTTATCTTTTTGTTCAATCTTTGAAAGATACTTTTTCTAGTTAAATATTTACAAACAATTCCAATATCAGCAGTTTCACTTCTTTTCTGGTTTGTTTGTTTTTTTTGTTTTGTGTCAAAATATATATCGCAAATTATATAAACTCTTCCATACATTTTTCAAATCATATTGCCATGATGGTTTTTTTTGTACATAACTTTTAAAAGTTTAATGGTCATTAATTGATTAATTGTTTTGGAATTGTAGACAACACTAGTGGAAAGAAAATATCCTTAGAATGAGCAATTTAGGCTATTCATCAAGAAAATATGGATGTATAACGAACTATTTTGATAGAAAAATGGTCTTTTAACAAAAAACATTTATCTTTCTAAGATCACAACTGAGACTAAACTGTTAACGTCCCTAAGCAACCAAAGAGTATACCTGATTCAAGGCAGTTGTGATCATATCACATCTGTAATAGATCCTCTATTCGTATCCAAATAAGAAAATAAACCGACAGAAGTCAACAACATAAAAATGAAACCCAAGTGCATGCTTGAATAAAAAAATAAACATTGATTTTTGTTTACATGTGGGTCTGTTCAAAAGTGTGCTGATTGATGCCATTCTGCTCCAATAGATGTATTTTACAGCACACATTTGTTCAACGGTGTATTCACAATAAACAAAAACTGTACCCATCTTCTGTTTTTAAGTGCCCACACGCCCACATGATGTCACTGCTATTAATATAGACGCATCCAAACCCTCACCTCTTCAGCTTAGTTCGTTGAGGTCTAATGGTTGTATGCACAGTTATATATATATATATATATATATATATATAATCACACACAACCACATTCCTTGTCATATCAATATCCTACTAAGGAAAGGTCTTGCAAGTGTCAGCCATATGCAGAAAAAGATTCAACATTGATGTACTCGCACAACACATTGTATCAAAAGCTAGTACTTATTGAATGCAATGCAAGCAAGGACCTTTGGAAAATGCATTCCAAACTAGCTTGGATGCTTTTATGTCAATGGTGGGTTTACACAAGGGAGCAATACTTCTAGGTAAAATATTAACTGACAAAAAATATCTCAACTGATGCTCAACGCTGTATCAGATTGAGTGTCCTGGAAAAAGGCCATTTGTCTATCTTCCGAGACAAAATTGTAGTGGGGATAATTTCCTCCGCTTTACGCACACGGGTCAAACATGTACCAGGCAAACCTTTGGGTGATTGTTGGAGAAGGCGACTCAGTCCCACAGAGCGCTCCCTTTCGGATCCCGTTGTGTCGGAGTCTCTTAGACATGTAAATGCTAATCTAAACATCAGGACAATACCGTGTTACTTTGAAACATCCTGTTATCATTTGATTACAAGCTCAATGCAAGTATGCGGTATTCATTAAGGATTTGAACTCCAAACAGCAAGAAATCTAGACGCCCGACTCAAGACAATGTTAGAGATCTACTCCCAAGCAACGTCATTAAAATAAACATTCCCTCTAACACGAGGCGCAATACAAATGAAAGTGCATGTTTCGAAAAGTCAGTAGAACAAAGTTGGAGAACATAAGTGTCACTGTTAAGCCTGAGAAAGGCATTGCGATCTACTCACTTGTTCAAACGGGCCTGAGCATTGTTGCACAAACGAGCGAATGACATCATGCCCTGATACCCGAAAAACACCCATAAACACCAAGCATGCTATATTAATACACTCCCCACATACACATTGGCCACTCATTGAAACAAATGCCCAAGCCTTAGGTCAATAAAACACGAAGAAACCTCTCATCAGAACTTAAGGAAAGGAACAATTTCATCCGGTCAGTGAAGGGCACCAAATTCTCAATCCCGAAACTGGGTTTCTAAGTACTCAACCCTGGTCACTAATACCTAGGTTGTAAACTAAATGCACACAATACCGAGACTTTCTGTTGGGGGTGTGATGCGCTGGAGAGCAAGTAAAATCAGCTCATTTCAAAAGAGCAGACGTGACCATAAACTAAGTTCATTGTGTCAAATTGAAACAATGTAGGAAAAAAGTGCAAAACAATGTTATTGGCAGCAAAGAGAATTGGATGCAACTTTACCTGAAACTGAAATGTCATCGGCAACCGTTTCGGCCACAGCTCTTGCTGTTCCATTCGCCCAAACTCGCGCAACTGCTGAGCAAGCTTCATCTCTCCATTCTCTCTCTTCAAAGATTCAATAACTTGTTTCATGAAATATTTGTCAGCTTCCAAAGTTTTCAAGCGATTTGTCAAGTTCTCGATTTCTTCTTCCACACCTGAGCTAGTGTCGTCTCCCCTAAGCGAAGAAGAAACCCGTAGGTTCTTGTACCTAACCTTCCCTTGTAAGTCCTCCCATGGAGAGTCCTTGTCTAAGTCGTCAACGTCTTCATCAAGGTGTGCAGGGTGAATGAAGCATAAGGGCTCTGGTTCGCTCTCGTAATCCCTATCACCCCTATCAAAACTATGCAAATCTGGCTTGCCAAGGCGATCTGAAGGGGTTGTTGGGTGCGGCTCTGCACTTGAAAAATTGCGAACATAGTCCGCATCTTCCGTTCCAGGCCCCAACTTCTGCACCTCATAAACATCATGCACGAACAATGTTTCCTCCGAACACTGTTCTGTATCATCGATACCCTTGCACATTTCATCATCAACAACTTCGTTGGTGCCAACGCAACTACGACGCCTATCATAGATGCCTCCGTCTTCGGCATCCTCTGGGGACACATTAAAGACCCGCTCTTCGTCACCCTGATCTTCCTGGAATAGTCTACGTCGCATAGAATGATCTCTTGTGAGAACTCTCGAAGGTGTCTCGTTCTTACTCGATGATAGTGAGTCTGTGCCTTCTTCAACATCATCACTATGCGCTTTAGACCTAGAGTCACCGCCACTTCTATGCTTGGTAGATGATTGTAAGACAGGAAGTCTTGCCCCTTGCTGTTGCTGTTCAAACTTTCGGACAAACTCTAAAACGGAAAGCCTTTTCTCTTCTATCCGTCTTTCCTCCTTGGTTTGGTCCAAAGTCTTTAGCGACACTTCCTGAGCACCCCATCTCCTTTTCAGGCTGACGTACCCTGTCAATTCATGTTTTCCATCCTCTCCCTCGTCGGACTTCCCAACCTTGCTCTTCAAGTTAGCAGGAGGAATCCTGGAACCATTTTCACGGCCTGCCACTTTGGGTCTAACACCTATTTGAGCCTTCTCAAATTCAGCTTCGATACCACGACCTGCGTCAGGTATTAATGCAGCGTAGAGCTGGCTTTTGGTGGTGCTAAACTTATCAATACACTTTGGTTGCTCTTCTTTCACAGCCCTTGGAGTCACAATAACCTTTCCGGTTCTATTTAAAATTGGTGATTCAGAGATCGCATTAGGTTTCAATGATTGTCTCCTCTCTTCCTTCATAACAGAGTCTAATCTTTCTCTGCACACACGAATTTCTTCTTCCAACGCAAGCTTCTCTTCCTCTCGACTCATGAGAAGTTCGTTCAAGGCTTCAATTGCCTCCTGGTCATACATTGCCTTCTCGAGGACCATCCGCTGGAATTGCCGAGCCTCCAGTTGTACAGCAGCTTTCTCCTCTTGCAAACGAGAAATCATTGCAAGAGCTTCACTAGCAGCTGTTGCGGAGAAATTCCTCTCCTTTTCCAACTCGCTGTACAGAGCAGCCAGTGTTTCACGTTCACACTGAAGAGCTTCATAAAGTTCCTTGTCCTTCAAATCTTGGTCTCTGTCCCTATCTTCCTGTTCTTGATCTTTGACATTCCTAACCGGTGAAATGTAACCTAATTCATTCTCAACACTTACATCTTCAGACGCAGACTCTGCCAATGAATCCTTAGAAATTTGACCTAATCTATTATTTACTGCACTATCTGCAGCAACTAGCCCAGCAAAGTTTTCCATTGCGACCTAGAAAATATATCAAATAATTGGTCTTTCTCAATTTTCCTCTCAATCGATTACGACAAGAATTTGGAGGGTTTGAGCCAACTCTACCTAGAACTCGAAACGCTGCGTAATGAATAAAACAAAAGACAAGAACCACAATGAATTCGACTACACCCGCAAAAGCTTGCAGGGAAGAAGCTGGATTCCAGTCCAAAGGGATGTCAACTTGTTGTCCTCTCCATGCCATCTCCAAGCGGATTATACCCAATGAGACGTGCTACAATCCATCCACAAATTCATCCTTCCCGTGTTTTCAAGGACATGTCTCCCCATCGTGCCTCCTCAAAAACTAATATACTAAATCTCACTATCGAGCAGGAGTTATAAAACTTGAAGTGACCAAAAATTCGATCACAAGAATCTTAAATGACATCCTTTTTTAGAGCCAAATGTGCCACTGTTAAGGTACTCCACAGCAAGTTACTTGCAATTTCAAATCAAAATGAGCGGCTTCCAATTTCCAGTTACTACCCAAACACGACGATGAGTTCCGACTCTGCTCCACAGACAACACTCATGCAAATCCAAGGCATCTGCTACCTTTCTCCACCTTCGAAAACACACTAGAACTGTAATACTTCAACTCGCAATGGCAAGCGCAATTCCACCCCCTTTGTCTTTCTCGGTTCCGGCACCACCACACCAGCTGCGCCTCAATTTCTCGACACGAACTCCACGCTCTTTGGAAGTCAAGAAGTCAAGATTGAGCTATAATTTCATATAGTTGAGTGACCAAACCCTCTCAACCCGGCACAAAGACACTCCTTGGGAGATATACCCCAAAACTCATAAGATTATAGACCAATTAGAACGTTTCCAGCCTGCACACACGATGCAAAAGAGAAGTGAGATTCTCCAGCCAGGTAGCTCGGATTGAACACAAACAATCAAATGGATTCTACTAGGATAATTTCATAATTTTTCAAGTCACCGGGACCATGACTACATGATCCACTGAGGAGATACGAGGTTTCCTCCTAGCTTATCCTGGCCAAGATCACCCAAGCTTCAAACGACTTGAGATTACTGACATGGCACTAATAGCCGCTCAGATTGGGTCAAAAGATACGCTCTAAGGTTCTCCACTTCCACTATATTGAAGGTGAGGTTCAAATTAGGATTCTTCTAAAATTCTGGAACAGTCAAAGACCTACTTCTGACGTTCCCCATACAGATTGAACTCGCAGTGTGCCCGCTTCCTCCTGCCGCACAAAAGCGAAACTACATTCTAGCCTCCTCAACGGTCCGAACATTAGGGACTGCTACAAAAGATGCAAAAAAGGACGCGTCAATTCCACTGCTGATCGAATTAGCAACCAATCCGATACCCAATGCAATCCTGGTGCGAAACTTAGGACACGCAAACGCCACCTCAGACACTCGACCCAGCGCAAACCCACCACCCCACTCTCCCCCTCAGCCCAGGCGAACCCCCGATCCCGTCCCTACGATCCCAACCCACCTTTCCATTCAAACCAACAATCCACAACCTCCCAAACCTTGCTCCGCCACCATAAACCCCGCCATCGAATCTCTATCACCGCTCCCTCAATTCAACATTAGGGTTCAAAAGTCAAACTCTCCAACCTGCAAACCTCAAAAACCCCCACAACAACTCCAGCTCCGATTCCAACAACCTCCCAGAAAGCGCAATTGCGACCATTGGCGAGTGGGTTCGTCCCATCCAACCACTTTCTTGAGCAGTGCGCGTGATTACATCGATCGGGGCGAAGGGGAAAAAAACTGCTCAGTGATGGAAAAGTAGAAGTAAGGGAATGGAGAACGTGGACGCAGCGTAGTTCCAGCGAGCCAGGCAGGCAAACAGCCCCACCAGAATCACTCTCGCTCTCTCTCTTTCGATCACTTTCTCTCACTCCCCGTCCTTCCTGGTCTGCTGCAAACCAGCGCGTGCCATGGACCGAGCAACACTCCCCCCCACGCCGCAACGCCTCCGCGCTTCCCCGCCCGCCGAAATGTTCCCCTCATTGGGAACGCGTCGCGTCCCTGTTCTCTTACCAAAACTTCAGTTCTCACTTATGGATTGTTCATGCCTGTGCGGTTTACGGTGGAGTCAAACCTGGAGGCTAGGGCCGCCGCTTTGGTCCATTCGCGCATGGATTTCTTGTGCCACGCAGCCAGATATTGCTCCAGTTTTTGGCGATTTATGGGTCACACAGCTTTCATCTCATGTCTGTGACAAGCGCAAGATTTTTTTCTTGAGTGTTCTGCATGACCCACGTCGAGTTCGAGCGCTTGGAACTTATGGGTATTTGTGTTGGCTATTGATTTTTCATGTGTGAGACAAGCTGCGTTGGAGAATTTGTGAATAAGTTTGTTTGAAAGATGAAGTGGTCAACTCAAGCGAAGCTTTTGCCTTGTGGGGATCTCGCTTGGCGGGAACATTTCTTGGGAAAGGTTGTTTCTAACCTACGCATTAATTGAATAGATTGATTCAGTGCTTCATTGCTCATGGCATTCCTCTATTCTCTCCCGAAACTTTAATGTGGTCATCAACAATAACTGAGGAAGTAGATGATTCACCAGGAAGACTTTCGCTTCCTTCAAGCTTCTAATCGTAACCATCTCTTCAATTTAGCTGGAGAGAAGACTTGGTTCAATTTTCACGGCCTCTGAACATGAATTAGCAATTTGTTGTCAATAATGACGGTTCAGAACATGTACAAAAGCCCCCCCAAACCTGTTGCTGCTCTGTGAGTCCCTTCATGTAATGGAACGTTGCTATTATGCGAGCTTGTGTCTCTGGTTAGGGAACTATCCTGATTGGGCAGGATAATCAAAGATCATTAGGAAGGTAAGGAGCATAATTTTTTAAGCACACCATAAGCCATGAATGCGCCTTCAGATATCTTATAATTTCTCGAGACTCAATTTCAGCTAGTTTTAAAATAACACCATACATGATACCTTGAGGGTATTTCGATATCATATGCCATTTACCCAAAAATACTGGTAAGATGAGCAATACAAGTGAGAGCCACTACAAAAAACTGATTTTAAGAAATACTCATTCAGCGAATTAGCCGCATATAATGCACCGATACAATGGCACAGGGGACTGTTGTGCAATGTCAAGTGTTTAAGCAATGTGGGTTAAAAACCACAAGTGACTCGGTCTGTGTACACGTTTGTTTTTTTTACTTCTCGAAATCTCCGACCCACTTTTCCGATTACAGCTTTTTAGACACAGCAGGAGTCCACCATCTGAGACCAAACTTGCATTCATCAGAAGGTGGGGCCGCGCGTGCCCGAGCTGTCACGATATAAATCAATGCACAATTGCAGGGCGGGCACATTAAGGGCTGACAACACCGCCCTAAATTCCTGCTCAATACAACGCCTCTCTCATTGCTCCCCACTATCCATTTCCCAGCAAATGCGAAGTTGACATTGCCCCACACCCCTAGTTCAACCTGATTCGCCTCATTTACTACGCCATGGAGTCCTAGGAAGCTGCTCCTGATTCTGGATGAAAATATAGGTCACTCGGAGCATTAACTGCTTTTTTGCATCCACTGTGGGTTCGCGTTTCGGATGATGCGGAGCGTTGATGAGCCCCCTCATTGGAATTGGATTGTGGTGCAGAGTCTTTGCTCTTTTTGCACAGTTTGTGATCTGCACATGATTGGGATGCTTGCTGTACTGCTATTCGACTGCTTCTCCGATGTTCGAGAATCAACTTTGTTCTGAAGGGCAAGGAGCCAATGCATGGGGAATGTAAGGGTGCACTGCAAAGAATTTGAGATCCATGGTGGTCCGATTATTTCTGGAGAATACATTTTGTGTTTGTGACCATGAGGAGGTTATGCCTTTTTTCTTTTCTTTTTTTCTTCTTTTTTTCTTTTTTAAATCCATGGCTAATTCTGTTTTGACCTGAGTCCAATGTTGGAAGTGTGTTGTGGAGGAATGATGTATTTGTGCCATTCCAACGGTGAGATTCATGTCTATTTGTTGTACTTTTCCTCTCTTCCTTGATTCCTGCCTAGATATTTGATCTACTATCGATTGGCCATCAAATCAAGGATTTTGAGAAGTGGTGGAGGAAAACATTGTGTTGGTGATGATTTACAGTCTAAATCATTTGAATAGAGCACAACATGACAATTAAGAAGATATATTTTTGATACTTATTATGCTTTGTAATATGATGTTTCTTTGTTATTATTAAAGAAATATATAACAATACTTGTTATATTTTGTTACACAATTATGTTCTTATTAGTAAATAATAGTTTATTTTTAAAAATATTTTTAAATGTATTAGCAATCCAAACTGTACATGTTATATTTTCATAAAAAATAAATTTAGGTGGATATCTCCCATTTGACATGTGGACATCCCTTTATAATTGCATAGATAATTCCCATGCCACACCAACAATACATCATCACTACAAGTTTTTAAACAAGCTAGATATCAATGAGGGTGAAAGAATAAAAACAATGCCAATAAAATAGAAACATTAATAAAATGTAAGTTAAATAGAACAAAAAATAAATAAAAAGATGAGAGAAGATGTCTATATAGTGGTTTTATTGGATTGACACCTCTATTTTAGTGTTGTTTTGTCTACTTTGATACCTTCTATGCCACTATTGTTTGTATGTTGTAGATTATTGTTTTTGTTTTTACTTTTATGTATTTAAACTTTTCAAACTTAGTTATGTCTATATTATTGAAAAACTTATAATAACAATGTATTGTTGGTATAGCATGGAAGGAGGGGTAGGGGGGAGAGAAGAGGGAGAGAAGAGGGAGAGAAGTAGTGAAGGGACAATGTATGGTTGATGCAATAAAAAAAGAGTGTATACAATAAAAGTGAGATCTCTACCTAGTAATATCTAAATTTAATTGACTATATCTTTATTATTGATAAAAAATTAATTAAAGATTTTATCCTTCTAATTTTTATGCAACCATCTTTAGATTTAAGTTTCTTGTTCTTTGGAATAATTTAAATAATAATTAAATATAAAAGTGAATAAAAATATTTTATTTTATTTATAAAATTTAATCTATTGATCTTAAAATTCTTTAGAATAAATTTGATTATTTATTTTATATTAAATATTTAGTTAATTTTTAATTCTCTTAATTATAAAAAAATTAAATTAATATTTTTTCTATTATTTTAAAATACCAACATTGATACAATGAAAATAAAAATTAATCAAAGAAATATTAATATTGATATATTTTTATATCATTATCTAAATCTTCCATGTAACAATGTAATTATTAATGTAATAATATGTTTTTGGAATAATTAAAACTATGCAAAACATGTCTATATATATTTTTGCAGATATATATATATATATATATATATATATATATATACTATTTTAAATTTTATTTATCATATTTTAAATTTCATAATAAATCTTCAAAATCTCAAAGCCTTGCCTCTTTTATTTTATTTTTAATTCTACTTCATTCTAACTATCTATGTAATTTTATCCTACAAAATAACTATATTATTAAGTATTTTTATAATTCTTAATGCCTAAATTACCAAAATCCAATCTTATTAATTAAAAAATAAAATCACATGAAGTTTAATATTTATAATATTTATTACATGTTTTTAGAATTAATAATAATAATTCATTATCATCTCTATGTATTTCTTATTTAATTTTTTTTTCAACATATCTTATTAAAATGCATTTGAAAGTACATGCTTTGAAGGAATTAGCTGGGATCAGAAGGCATTGTAGCAAGTTCAACATGAAAAATAATTTTCTTGACATATTTTTCAAAAATATGTCTTGACATACTTTTCATTAATGTACCAAAGCTACATTAAATTTACTATTACTTTTATAAAATTACTTCTAAATTTATCGTTTTAGATGAATATTGTTTTACTAATTATCATCTATAAAGGTTGAGTTTAGAAAAAGGGTTTTATTCCTTGCTTAATATCCAATGCTTACCTACCATTCCAAAAGTTTGAAAGAAGTATAATTAATAGAGAATATAATTCTTTCTTAAAATATATATCATTAAATTTTAGAAGTATGCTATGTACTAGAAAGTCTTGCAAATGTGGTAGAGTAGAATCTTAGTATCTATGAAATACCAACATTAAACCTAAATATTAGCAAAGTTCACAAACTTAAGTTTTATTATGAGCTTATTATCTAAATGCTACATTGTATGTAATGATATTAAATCTTTATTTGAACTATGCTCATCAGCCTTATCATTCTTGAAATATCTAAATAAATAACCATACCCGAAAAAAAATTGAATCCACTTGAATTTCAAAATTGAACAAATATTTACTACAAATGTCAACCCTTTTATAACTTCTAAATTCAGACGAACTTCTTGAATGTTGGTCATTACGTGGTGATTGATCCAACTCTTCATTTGGTGAAATATCCCCTAATAAAAATATTTACTCCCACCCATTTCCGAACTTTGCCACTTGCAATTACCCCCCAATGACAGAAGGCAGTTGAAAATTGAATCCTATGTATTTAGTGCCTTGGGAGTTGTGAAAATTCTGTTGGATGTGTGTGTGCCCTCCGGTCCAAGTGCAGAAGTCTAACGGTGAATCGCCGAGCGTTGTAATTTGGCCTCCATCTGCACTCTGAATAGAATGTTCTCCTACTGCTCGTGGAAGCTCTGTTCACGTTTTGATAAACGTAAACATTTTGTTTGAGGACCCAGATCATGTATGGCCGTGTTCACCTGTACATTGACAGTGAGACTGCAAAGAAAAGTACAGATACAGGCAAAAAAAAAAAAAAAGAAAAGAAAAGAAAAGAAAAAGACGATTTTTATATTTTTTAAACGGAAACTGCTCAAAGGGGTTCAGACCGTTAAACGTTGACACATCACATGACTATGAAAGTCCAACTGCGAAAGGACTACGTTGACGGAGAGCCAAAGCGGGGGTTTGAGGGTTTGGAGCAGACACAAAAAATTCACCGTCACCGTTCCTGGCTAAGAATTAAACTGGTGTATGTGTGTGTGTGTGTGTGAGTGAGTGAGTGAGTGAGAGAGAGAGAGATTAGTTTTGAGTTATTTTTATTTTATGTTTTTGTTGTTTTAATCAACCACAAGAAATACAACCTGAAGCATATTTGGGGGTTTTGGACGAATCCCGCGAATGGCTAACATTTGAATCGAAGATGTGCACGCCGTTCGCACGCCCTTATCTATCACTTGCACGACGCTCTCGCACAACGGCTCCCATCACCTTGGCCATGTTTTCTCACCCCTGTAAATTTAGATGCCAACGTTGACGGTGGGCGATTTCCAGATTCATGTCTGAAATATAACCTCCAGAGGTGTCGCTCGTCATGCTAGATTTGGGCTCCTAGCGTCTGTGGTATGAATTTGCGTATCGAGAGGCTCCCGATTCTTGGCAGGCTAATTTTGGCGTATACAGCGGCGCATATACTACCATTACCTTGCTTCTAGGGGGTGGAGGATTTCTACGGCTCCTCGATGGTGCAAGGAGAGAGGTCGGGAAAGTCGAATACCAGCTTCTTTTCGCCACACTTTGTTAACGGCGACATTTGTTGACCCAGGACAAAAATTCTAGTTCCTTGAAAATGTGTTGTCGTGAACGCAACAACATCCGCCAAACGGAACCGACGTTCATCAGCTTCTGCGATGGAAGCGCAATCTGCTTTGGAGAATGACCTATCGAGACTCAACTCCGTTCCCAAGGCGCTGCGCCGTCGCGCTGGGGCTCACATCCGGCCCACAATTTCTTCTCCTTAACACCAGTATATGACACAAATTTGAATCTTCTTTACATTTTTACTTCGACATTCCCAGGTAAAATTTACGGTAGATATTTTTTCCAAGTGATTGCTGCGAAAATTATTTGCTTTTCCAAAGAATCAAGCGAAGTTGAGGAGTTGTCACAGGAACACATTCACGACAGGGAGTGAAATCAATTTTCATTGCTTAAACCGTTAATGTGAGCATCCAAATTAAGATTTGAGAAAAGTTGATTGAGTGTTGGTACTACACATGTTTTGCACAGACATGTTGGTACTAAGTGACCATTGCCAAGGTTTCAAAGATATTTTTAGTCATGCCCATGATGTAGAATTAACAGTCCAGTCCTAGACAGACCAATCTTGTATTAAAATTCCGCATAAAATATATTCATTAATGATGTAATCTTCTTAACTCTACGCATGTTAATACTACAATTGCTGAACATACTAATATGTGTTCTAAAAAGATGTTCAATGAAATTCTCTACTAAAATCTGAAAATCCTATTTAATCTCCCCTCCAACCAGTAATCTCAAAATCTTCAGAAGACATAGTGGAGACGCTCCCAAACACAGCAGGAGATTAGACACTACACATAAATACATCAAAATCTGTGATCGGTGAGACGTCCTGATTGAGAATCGAGACCGGTGTTGGACATGACATCAGGATTGAGAACCGGACTGGGGTTGCTCCACTGCTTCCGATGAGCCCCAGATTAACTTTTGGATTGTGTTGTGGAGTTGTCGCCAATGGCTTTTGCAGCGCTTTCGTCAAGCTTCTGAGCTTGGCCTTGGAGCTCTAGGGTTGTTGGGTTTTTCGAGGAGCGTCTATGATGCAGGCTACGAACAAAACGGATGGGAATCCCATCCAGATGATTCAGCTCAAGGTGAAGCAGCTGGACCAGGATGTCAAGGTATGGCTGAAGAAGCAGCCCGCTGCTGTGGAGGTAGCGTTGGTCACAGCAGGGAGCGCTGTGCAAGGTGGTGCTATAGGCGCGCTCATGGGGACGTTCAGTGCAGATGTGGTCTCTACCATGCCAACTCCTTCGCCTCAACTTAACCCCGAGGCTGCTGCCTCGCTTCAGCAAGCCAAGGTGGGTCTCCAGGCTGGGATTTGTGGCTATCGTGAATCGGGATCATGAAATTGTGACTGGGAATTCACTGGATCCTTCAATTTAGGGCTTCTCGTTTCTGGTAAAATTCGTGATTTGTGCTTGTTAATTGTATTCTCGCTGAATTATGAGATCTTTTTACTTCTGGTTGAGTGCCTTTTCGTGATTATGGTTGTTCATGAATCGAGGGGAGTTAATCTTTAGTAAATTGTCATTCAATTCTGTATATTGATTGGTTCAGGGGTCTTTGTTTTGAATTGGCTTGCATGCTCGTGTTTGAGGCAGGACATTGGTGTGTAAGTAGGATTTCGTACTTAAACCATAATCGGAACGAACCCTGGAAAGTTGTGAACAGGTTGGAAGTTAACTTGGAGAAACCGCAACTTCTTTTTATTATCCCTTGCTAAGATTCAAGAAGAATGCGATAACTAGCTAAGAATGCGATAACTAGCTCAGAAGTGAGGACAAAGACTACTTGCGATCAAAGATTATGTTGGAGAAACTTAATTTGCAAAAGTACGAGAAGAACTTCAAGAAGGGCATGTTGACAGATTCAACTCTTCATCTTTTAAATGACAGGTTTGTTACTGCTACATATACTTTTAACCTATTTCTTTTCCACAACACAACTGTGAAAAGAAGGTCATTGGGTATGAAAGCTAGTTTCGTGGAGAACTGTGCTTTTTGGCATAGTATAATCTTTACTCAATGATACTCGAGGCTGAACTTGGTTTATGTTGGTCTGTGCAGTTCTTTAAGAGATGTACAGATTCCACCAGGACCCAGGCTTCTGATTTTGGATCACTTAAAAAGGTGCGTTTAGCTTGATCTTTCTCATTCCTGGCCAATGCCTACTTTATGTATTGATTTATTGGCTCTATCTTTCAACGTCATTCCTGGCCAATGCCTACTTTATGTATTGATTTATTGGCTCTATCTTTCAACGTTTACCAGATGCATGAAGGATACATCTCTTGACCATGGTATATTAGAACGTTCATGCTGCCAATACTTCTTGCGGCTCTGTGTTACTCTATGCTTATATACTTATAAAACTTCTGGCATTATTACAGGTTCGAAGACGTCGCAAGAAGATCTAGCTAATGGTTGCATGTCATTTCTTGGGAAGAGTCGAGACGAGATTGTACCTTACCGTTTTCAAAAATTAGACTTGACTTTGCATCGATTTTTCTCGCATTAGTATTGGACTGAGGATGAGTGAACATGGTCACTTCTCAATCCGCAAAGCCCTTTCACATCATTAATTGGATAGTGATCTGAATATATTGTCATTACTGACGCACTTTTGGTGAGAAGTTAAGGAATGTCTTTGCCACTATCTAATCGATTGGAATGGATGCCATCTGAGCGTTGCTTACAGCGTTTTTTTCAGGGTTAGCAGTTTCTTGAACGTAATTACACCTAATTTTTCATCCTCTTGTCAGGTTATGCGATGCCTTTTGTGGATGTAACTTGAGCATGGCCCAGGAGTGGAGTGAAGGAATCTTAGGGAGTACATCCACAAATAGCAGCAAGTGCATCTACATCCACAAATGCTGGAAGCCTGAGCATGGCCCAGGAGTGTTTTATTCAGTGGGGGAATAAAATACAAGATTGGGGGAATGGTGGTGCACTATAGACTGAAACTGAGATGGCGCACCAAAAGTGTGCCATATCATCTGTCGAGTCTAAATGCCAAGCCCTGCATATGAACCCTAGCCCTGCATTTGAACCCTAGCCCCGCATATGAACCCTAGGGAGGCGTGCATTTGGAAAGCGGTGCAGGGTTCACATCGGGTAGAAGGTGATTCCTGGGGCCAGGGTGACCTTGCAGGCGATGGGGAAGATGAGGTTGAGGGGAAGTCGAGGAGGGATCCAGACTTTCATGAGGATCCTCCGGCCCAGCCTTCTCGACAACAACGGGGACACGGTTGGCGTGATCTTAGGCACCAGCACTGGTGCAATGTTGCAGCGTGGCTCGGGCCTAACGCGTGGCCTTATGTGTGGCCTGAGCAGCTGAGCAGGGTTTGGCTGTGGCTGCACAAGAGGATGCGCGGGTGTGTGCAAGGCAGAGTCGGAAGCATGGGGTGGCTTCGAGTGCGCATTGAATTTGGGCTTGGGGTTTTTGGAGGTGTGCCTTGGAAGCTGTCTTGGCTTGGCAGGAAGGGTAGTTGCTGTCTTGGGGTTGATTGTGGGGGCAGAGATTATTGTCTGTGGGGGCAGAGATCGAGGAGTGAGGACGATGATGGTCCTCCTCTTGGGGGGCTGCTTGGAGATGGGCGCCATGGCTAGGGAGGAAGCACAAGCAAGGCCAGGTCCTCTACGAAGAGAGCAAAACAAAACAGGAAAATGAAGTGGAATGAAGGTGGAAGCGCACAGCATGCCTAGTTATAGGAACCCCTGGGACAAAGTGGAATGGAGGAGGGCGCAAGCACTGGGAGTTCCAATTGGAGTTGCAGTAGGAGTTCGAACTGGAGTTCCAGTAGGAGTTGCAGAAGCCGAGAGCAGCAGCAGTCCAGGGCAGCGGTTTGTGGAGCACGTGGAAAGGTTGTGGAGCATACAAGTCAGCGTGGAGAGCAGGGATGGGGAATCCACGGGGGCTTCTTGGTCCTGCTGTGTGCCTTGTTCGTTGGCCCCCGTTCTCGGTGGGAGGCGCGGAAGCGGTGATGAGAATTGCTAGGGCTCGCGGCATGTCTGATTTGGGTGAGAGAGCGAATGGAAGCGGGAAGAAGCGTCGTGGGGGAACGGCGTCTGATATGGGGGATGTGAGCAATTCCGGGTGTTGGGACGCTGTGCATTTGGTTGGCGCTGCGTGGGTGAGTGGACGGATTGGGAGCGTGCGATACGGGTGCGCATGGCATGGGCGAAACGGTTCCGTGGGGGTTGGGAAGTGTTATTGAGGTTGTGTTGTTGCGGAGATGCAGCAGGAAGCTGTGTGAGTGTGGTTGTGGAAGGTGTGCGGTAGCCGCGACCGTTGTGTGGGATGAGGCAGGGTTCCTTTTATGTTGTTCATGTTTTGTGGAGCGACTTGATTGGGTGTGCAGGTCGGGGTGTTCGATGGGGAGAGTTTGGAGCTTTGGGATCGGTGACGTTAGCGATGGTTTACAGAAACGTGGTTGGGTGATGTACCTAATGGAGGTCACCGCGGACGTTGAGGACTGCGCTGGTTGTATTTTGGATCGATGTGTTCCTGTGCAAAATGCGCAGATGAAGTGTGGTAAGTGTGCAGATGAAGTGGAGTGAATATAGCAATCTGGAGTTGGACACTGTTCATAGGAAATGGAGTCAAAGTGGAGTCGAAGTGGAGTGGGTACAGCATGAAGAGAGGCAAGGGGACGAGGTATTGTTTATTATCACCTTTCACCCTTTTATGCAGCCTTCTTTTGCAGCATGGCGCCTAGGATCCTGAAGCTGGTTTTCCTACTTCTCCTTTGCATGTCTCAAGCTTTACCAGGGGAAGGCTTGAGTGGGGCAAGACACAACTCGATGGGGACGAGGAAACATTTGATGCCTAGAATTCCAGTGCGGCTTCCTCTACCGGGTGCACTGCCTCTCTTGCTGCGTCCAAAAGTATTTTTGACTTTGGCTTGTAATTGTCAATTTTTTTGGAGAGTGTCGCTTTTGTGTGACATAAAATACGTCCAAAGCTCTTTGGAATGGTCGTCAATGAATGTGACAAAGTAGGATACGCCACCTAGAGATTTGATGGGGCAGGGGCTGCAAACGTTGAAGTGAATGATTTCGAGGATGCGGGAGGCTCGGTGTCGTTCTATTTTGGGGGTTGCTTTCCTACTTTGTTTTCTGAGAAAACATGTTTTACATGGATTTAAGAGGCCTGAAAATGTAGGGAGTTCGCGGTCGGCGTGTTGTTAAATTATTTGGGATAGTCATCGGCTGTGATAATGGCCCAGCCAAGCGTGCCACGTATGTCGCAATCGGATTCGGGGCAACATGAGAGTATCTCAATTGGTTTAGAGATTACGTCGATATGCGGATCTTATCTTGGGTCTAGGATCGTGGATAGATCAAGGTGGAATAGACCATTACCACGGTCTCTTTTGGTGTAGGCGACTAGAGAGTGGTCTTGTTGTTGGCGGATGAAGCATTCTTCGACGACAAATTCAAGACTCATGTTTTTATCAGCCACGTAGCCCACCGAAATGAGGTTTTTGACTATGCCAGGCTAAAAAAGAACGTTTCCCATAGACTTTATTTCTTTGGCAAGGTTGATTATGGATACATTACCGATTGCGGTGATGACTATATCCGCCAGCAGATCGGATGCGGTGCCCACTAGATGGGCGCACGAAGGAGAAGGCACGGTGATTTCCAGTGATGTGGTTGGATGCCCGGAATCCAAGTACTACTTCATTTTTGAACTCCTAGAATCAATCGAGTTGATTTCTAATTGAAAAAAACATGCGTCGACGATATGGCGGGTACAACGTTTTTGTAAAATCCAATGTTTCCATTCCTTTGCCCTGTCGATATGAGCTTTGATGTCGCATTCTCTTTCGAAGTGACCAGCTTCGCTGCAATACTTACAACACTCATTTCTGGGATGATCGGAACCGCATGTTTTGAAACGAGGTTGGTATGTAGATGATGGTGCTGAATTTGATCGCGATTGATACGTTGATGATGAAGCGATCGATCTACTATTCGATCGATGTGGTCGATGTTGACTATAGTGTGGATTTTGTGGTGTAGGAGATTGTGACCTCTGGGTATATCTCTATCCTGAGCTCCCTAATTCAAAAATCGTAGAACATTGACCAGATTGGGAATAAGGTTGCTGGTACGTATGGCCTCCCTAATGGTCGCGATAATCGCAATTTCGGTGTGCCAATAGTGCCTCGCTGGAGTGATCAGAATTTGATAAGTTCATAGACATCTCTATGGCAAGTATTTTGGACTCCATGTCTTCATAACATGAAAGTTTATCGCCATCCAGTGTCATTTGTTTAAAAAAATTCATACTTGTCAGGTAGGTTTTTGACGGTGGCCCAAACTCCAACATCTTCCGATAGATCTATATTTACTTCCTCTAGTAAATCCACTACTTCTTTCACATTGGTTAGAAAACTATCTATACTTATGTTTTTTTGATTTTTTCATCATGAAAAACTTTTCTATAAGCATGTATCTGCGAGGGCCGTTGTAAGTTTTGTACCTTTGTTTGATTTTTGTCAAACAGAGGTGCACTTCCTTGTACCTCCTTATGAGTCGCAGAGCTGCATTTTTGCATTGTTATTGATGGCAGTAAGGGTGCTAGCTCTTCTTAGCTGCTCCAAAGTGGACAGGGTTGTACAATACTAATAAAGTTTATCGCTTTGTAATACATTCTTCATTTGATACGCCCAGATCCCGTAATTGTCTGGCCTCTCTAGATGGTATTGTTTTGGAATCGAGCATTCCCTTGTTTGGTATGGTCGTTGAGCCACAACTAGTGCCTCAGACAGTGCCGGTTGTTCTCCAGAGTTGGAGCTGAACTCTGACGGCTCGTTCGGATCTGCGACCACTTGATCCACCATTGTGTGTTGAGTTTAATCGATAGAGATAGTGTTGCTTGAGGAAGAAACAACAAGGTGTGTTATCTTATCACTGCAAGGAAATCACCCCGTCTCTATTGGTCCTAGGAAAGTGGTTCTGGTACCATATTGAAACGAGAGTGAACCATGAAACACGAACAAAACAAAGGTGCCTCAAAGCGGCGGCGTAACATTGATATGAATAATAGTCACACAGTAATATTGTGCGTAGCGTAGCAACACAGAAGAAGGATGGAAGGCTTCGAACTAAATACTATAGGTATACCGTAAGAAGAGATGACATACTATGACGAACACAGGATATGAACAAATCTTTGGACAAAAGTTTCAACGTTTTTGGTCTTGCTGTGTGCCTTGAAGTTGCGCCTCGTTCTCGGTGAGAACAAAGGAGCAAGAAGTAGTGAAACAATAAGAACTAGAAGTCACAACGAATAAAATAAACAAGTAGTGAGAACAAAAGCAAGGAAATTAGAAGTAAGAACAATAAGTAACAAGGAAGTAAGCAAACAAAGAGTAAGAACAAGAAGTGACAACAAAGTAAAGGAACAAGAAGTACAAACAAGAAGTGACAATTAAGTTAGGGAATAAGAAATAGTATCAAGCACTGACATTGAAGTAAGGAAAAAAGAAGTGAAGTAGAAGTAAGCAAACAAGGAAATAAGCAAATAAGATGTAAGAAGAAAGAGTGATAACAAAGTAAACAAATAAGAAGTAACAATGAAGTAAGGAAGCAAGAAATAAGAACAAGTGGTGATATTAAAGTAAGGAAAAAAGAAATGAGAATGAAGTCAAGAAATTAGAAGTGAGAATAAAGCAAGTAAATAAGAAGTGTTAACAAGAAGTGACAAAGATACAAGCAAAGAAGATGTAAGAAGAAGTGACAACAAAGTAAAGAAACCAAAAGTTGGACAAGAAGTGATAATGAAGTAAAGAAACAAGAAATAAGAATAAATAGTAAGTTTGATATAAGGAAAGAAGAAGCGAGAATGAAATAAGGAAATTAGAAGTGAAAACAAAGTAAACAAATTGAAAGTGAAAACAACAAGTAACAACATAATAAACAAATAGGAAATAAGAACAAGAAGTTACAACATAATAAAGAAACAAGAAATAAGAACAAGAAGTGACAATGAAATAAGAGATTAAAAAATAAGAATAAGTAGTGATATTGAAGTAAGGAAAAAAAAAAGTAAGAATAAAGTAAAGAATTTAGAAGTAAGAACAAATAAAAGGTGAGAACAAGAAGTGACAATGAAATAAGCAATCAAGTTGTACAAAGTAGAAGTGACAACAAAATAAGAGAATAAGTAGTAAGAATAAGAAGTGACAATGGAATAAGGATACAAGAAATAAGAACAAGTAGTGGCATTGAAGTAAGGATAGAAGAAGTGAGAATGAAATCAATAAATTAAAAGTGAGAATAAAATAAAAAAATAGGAAGTGACATAAAAACAAGTAAAAATATATCAAGTAAATAAGAAATATGAACAAGAAGTTAAAACAAAATAAAGGAATAAGAAGTGACAATGAAATAAAGGATCAAGAAATAAGAATAAGTTGTAACATTGAAATGAGGAAAATAGATGTGAGAAAAAAGTAAGAAAATTAGAAGTGAGAAAAAAATAAATAAAAAGAAAGTGGAAACAAAAAATAACAATGAAGTAAAAAAATAAAAAATAAGAATAAGTAGTGACATTGAAGTGAAGAAAAATGAAGTAAAAATAAAGTAACAAATTTAGAAGTAACATCAAAGTAAATAAATAGGAAGTGAAAACAAGAAGTTATAAAGATATAAGAAAATAAGATTTAAGAGGAAGAAGTGACAATAAAATAAACAAACAAGAAGCAAGAACATGAAGTGACAATGTAGTAAAGAAATAAGAAATAAGAACAAATAGTGATATTGAAGTAAGGAAAGAAGTGAAAATGAAGTAAAGAAATTAGAAGTAAGAACAAAGTAAGTAAATAGGAATTAAGAATAAGAAGTGACAAAGAAATAATCAAATAAGATGTAAAAAGAAAAAGTGACAACAAAATAAGAGAATAAGAAGTAAAAACAAGAAGTAATGATGAAGTTAGAAATTAAGAAATAAGAACAAGTAATAACATTGAAGGAAGGAAATAAGATGTGAAAATAAAGTAAAGAAATTAGAAGCTAAAAAAAAATAAACAAATAAGAAATGAGAAGAAGACGTGACAATGAAGTAAGAAAATAAGAAATAAGAACAAGTAATTATATTGAAGTAAGAAAAAAAAAGTAAGAATAAAGTGACAAATTTAGAAGTAAAAACAAAGTAAACAAATAAGAAGTAAGAGCAAGAAGTGACAAAGAAATAAGCAAACTAGATGTAAGTAGAAGAAGTGACAATTAAATTAGGGAACAAGATATTGAAGAAATAGAACTTTGAAGTCACAACACATATCATCAACAAGGTTGCATACAAATAGAGTATAGAGTAAGATGTCTTTTATTTCCAACACCCAATACTTATAGGTTGTAGTTGCTATCTTATAAGACATCTTTTACTCTTTGACTTTTATACACATGATCCTAAGTCCTAAGTTCTTTTGGCATCTAATGTACCTCAAAGATATCTTATGGTCTTTGAATCTTTTGGCATCTTACTAAACACAAGGGTATCTTATGCCAAATACTAATTATTCTTACTTAGTCTTTGGATATTTCCTAATTCATACTTTATCATCTTGATTTTGATTCTTAGTCTTTGACGTCGTCCTATATCCATAAGATGCTCTTTTTATACACCAAGAGTCAATCCTTTGACCATTAACAACCTACCTAAGGTAATATCTTTTACTACATAACTTATTCTATTTTTACTTATTTACTTCAACACTCCCACTTTGCTACTGGTCAAGGGACTTTGAATCCTAAAGCCTTTGTCAATATCCAGTGTCTATCTTTTACAAATGCCTTTGTCAACAAATCAGCAAGCATGCCTTCTATTGCACAATATTTTATATCAATTATTTCTATTTCAATCTTCTTTCATATAAAGTGATGTTAAATGTGAATGTATTTGGTCCTTGAATGATGCTTTGGATTCTTTGTAAAAGAAAGACATCCTTGATAGTCACTTGACTATGCTTCCATTTGTACTACTCCAATGTCTTTCAAAAGTTGTCTTAGCCATATTGCGTCCATTGCACCATGGCTTGCTATCATTTACTTTGCTTCCATTATTGACCTTGTAATTGTTGGTTGCTTTTTGTAATTCCATGAAATTGCTTTCACTCCAACAAAGAATACATATCTCATTGTTGACCTTCTATCATTTGCATCTTCAATCCAATCTACATAATAATAACCATGCATAGTAATGCTATCACTTCTAAGTTATTTTTATGAAGTTCAAAGTACCTTTTAAGTATGTCATGATTCTTTTGATGGTTGTCTAATGTATTGGTCCAACCTTTAATATATGTTGGCTCACAACACTCACTGTTGTCGTAATATGTGAAGTCTTGCTTGAGAATGCTCCGGGCACCTGACTATGGAAGGTAGAATGGAAATTGCAATAATGAAATCCTAATTCTAATAGAACACTAACAATGCTAAACAAACTTTAATCAAATTTAGAGAAACCTCAAAGGCATTCCAAAGAAATAATAAGAAATCTTATAGAAATATTAGAATGATTACAAACATATCTCAAATACATTCCAATTCAATCTTAATTTAATCCTAGTTGAAATCTTACTTTATTCAAACTTTAGGCCAAAAACTAAGTAAATCTTAAATCCTAAATAAATTCAAATAAAATCCTAAATCCTAAATGAAATCTTGAACAAATCCTAACCAAACCTTAAACCCTAAATCAAATCCTAAATCCTAAATCAAACTCTAATCAAATCCTAAATTCTAAACCAAATCCTAATCCTAAATCAAATCCTAACCAAATCCTAACCAAACCTTAAATCTTAAACCAAACCCTAATCCTAAATCAAATCCTAACCAAATCCTAATCAAATCCTAACCCTAAATCAAATTCTAACCAAATCCTAATTCTAATCTTAAATTCTAAATCAAATCCTAATCAAATCCTAATCAAATCCTAAATCCTAAACTAAATCCTAATCAAACCATAATCCTAAATCAAATCCTAATCAAATCCTAACCCTAATCTTAAATCCTAAACTAAATTCTAACTCTAAATCAAATCCTAACCAAATATTAATCCTAAATCAAATCCTAACCAAATCCTAACCCTAAATCAAATCCTAAACAAATCCTAACTCTTATCCTAAATCCTAAACCAAACCCTAACCCTAAATCAAATCTTAACCAAACCTTAATCTTAAATCAAATCCTAATCAAATCCTAAATCTTAAACTAAATCCTAATCCTAAATCAAATCTTAACCAAACCTTAACCAAACCCTAATCTAAAATCAAATCCTAACCAAATCCTAATCCTAATCCTAAACCCTAAACCAAACCCTAACCAAACCCTAATCCTAAATCAAATCCTAATCAAATCCTAGTAATTTCTATAATATAATTAAACCTCAATAACTAATGAATGAACCGTTGATCTTAACTCAAATTTTGCATACTTCTTAAAAACTAAATTAAAAACAAGCACAAATTTTTTTGAAAAGGATTGGACTTAACAACTAGACGATAATTTCAAAAATGTGCTCGGGTATTGGCCTGCCTCCTTTTCCAATCTTGATGCCAATTTCATAGACCGAATATCTCTCTTTTTCACCGTTCGATTGATTTCAAAATTCTCATACATATAGAAAAATAAGTCTAATATCCTCTC